AATCACACTTAATAAAAATTTAAGGGAAATACTCCAAACATTTCAGCATCAAAATCTATACTTATATTAAAAGGTATACCATTTACCAGATTTAGTATAAAGAAAAGTCAACAACATTTATTGCATTACTATTTCCGTATTATACAATCTATACTTATATAAAAGGAGATTCTATTTACTACATTTACTATCCAGAAAAATCAACTGCATTAAATGCCATTATTATTTTAGTAATATAATATTTTATTTATTTAATTTATTTATTTATTTATTTTATTTTAAAAAGGTAAGTATAATAAAAGATTTTAATAATAAAAAAATCAAATACCAAATAAAAATGTACACTTTGACTTATTTGATTATATTTGATATTTGATTATACCAAATATATTCCTATTTAATATATACATTAAATACTTACTAAAGTATTTATTTGTTTTATTTGTCAAAGTTAAGTATAGATTTGTTTATATTATGAAATCATAAAACAAATAAATATATCTCGTGCTTCACATGGTATTTGAACATTGTACAATTTTCTTGTGTAATATAAACTTTTATTGAATATTGCATCTTATAATATAATGTTCTCCAAATAAATACATCTCGTGCTTCGCACGGGTCACGTACTATATATATCCCGTACATTTTTCTTTATTCATGTATATAATTATAAGCCTGGATAAATAGCCTTAAAATTGTGCACCCCGTGCATCGCACGGGCTCTGTACTAGTCATATATTGAAAGCAACTCCAATTTTAAAGGAGCTCATGAGACCCAGACATCACCACACACTATGAACAAAACAATCCCAATAACAAAAGATTGACTAATAACACTCAATCAAACCTCTCATTGTGAGGCCCTCACCACCTTAGGATTAGTCAGAAGCCCATACCCAAACCCAAACAAAGGATCATAGCCCGAATCCCCCACATTCATCGGGAGCTGATCAACGGTCCTAAACCACGTTCGGGCCAGTCGGCCCGTAAAACCATAATCCCCAAACAAAACATCAGCCATTCCTTGCCCTTCGGTCCCTGGCAGCCAAGCAGCCACTAAAGCATCAATCTTTTCTAGATAAGGCTCGATGAAAACGGGCCGGCCCGAAACAATCACAACCACACATTTAATGTGTTCGCATACGGTGGATATTGTGTTGTAACCGGGCTCGGTTATGGTTAGTGTTTTGCTGTCTCCAAAAGTTTCAACGTAAGGAAGTTCACCTACGGCAACTATGGCGTAGGTAAAGTTGTGGGCCGTGAGAAATTCTTTGTCGGGATTTTCACGGTGGGTAACTTCGGTTGAGGGGTCAACTGCATTTTTTACTGCTGTCAAAATCGTGGTTCCTGTAAAAGGGAGGAGGATAAGTAGAGAGTAGTAAAGGTGTAAGGATAGTAAAGAGAAGATTTGTGATCTTTGTGGCTTTAAGCAACTTGATTTTAAGGATTTATGTTTTGTGGTCCACAAAATATTTATGCAAGGTCTCAAATTTTAGGAACATTGTGCATGTGATGGTAACCCCTTAAGCTAGAAATTCAGAACATGTTAGAAATCATTTTCACATGCAATGTGAGACTTTTAAAAGTTTTCGGAAAGTTGGCAGTTTCTTGTGTTGTCTGCTCTAGAATAGGGTTGTAAACGAGTCGAGCCGCTCGAGAGCGCTCGGTCAAACTCGAGCTCGAACAGTTCAACCGAGTAAATGAGTTGAACCTCGAGCCTAAAGAGGCTCGTAAGCTCGATGGGCCGCTTGATTTTTTATTTACACAAATACCCTATATAGTTTAATATCTCAATATTAGAACACCAAGGACAAAATTGCCAATTTAAATAAAAATAGTAACTTTATATTTAAAATTTAGCTGTTAAAATTTCGAGTCGAACTCGAGCCATGTCGAGCATCGAATCGAGCTCGAGTATTCTTATTTTTTTCACGAGTCGAGTCAAGCAGCATTTTACATGGCTCCTCGAGCTCGAGCAGTGAAAAAAAAAAAAGTTCGATCTGTGCTCGACAAGGTCCGTACTCTAGAACAAGTTAAATTTGCCACAATTGACCTCACACTACATTATAGAAAAAAGATACCTTTCTTAAACAACGATAAAAGCGCCTAGTTTTTTAGATGAATTTTCTTTTCATTTTCGTTTAAGTTTCTTGTTTTCCCTCTCCAAAAATTGCTCCCGAACACGCAATTAACTTCCAAATAGTAAAGAACTCACCACTCGTAATATCGCCACTCAGCCCTTTCCACTCGATGGTCCAACCACCACACTGTTTGCCGATATCATCTGCATGAGTCCCAGCCACAAGCACCTTTTGTGCTGCTTTTGGTAGAGGTATCATTGGCCTATCACTTTCTTTACCGTTCTTTAGCAGCACAAGTGACTTCCGAACGGCTTCTCTAGCCAATTCCCTGTGTTCCTATTGCAAACACAACTTATAACAAAAATAAATAGAAGTAAAATAATAATAAAAAACAAAAGTTAAAAATTTCAGAAATAGAGAGAGATGGAGAGCTTGTTAAGATAGTGAAAACCTGGCTTCCCAGATGATGGGCTAGGCTGAGATCGGCATATGGGCTCTCGAAAAGGCCCATGATGAATTTGACCCTCAAAATCCTCTTCACTGCATCATTGATCCTGCTCATTGGAATCACTTTTTTCTTCACGAGTAAGGTCAAATCATCGATGAACTCCACATACTCCTCCGGGACCATTACCTTGTCACCAAATTTTTTATAAGTCACAAATACTCCCTTAAGATGTTACAAACAAGAAACATTTGCAGAAAACAGTATTTGCATTTTCTAATAATTGAACTAACTCTAGAGGGCTCTTTCATGATCGACCATTTTCATTTAGCTTTACTCACCATATCAATCCCAGCATGAATACCAGCTTGAACAGAATACGTATAGTTTGCACGAGATGGGGTGGTTATTCGGTCAATGCCCCACATATCAGATATCACAAATCCCTGAATTCCAAATAAATAATTAAAAAAAAAAACATGCTTATGGGTCTAAGAAATTATATTTATATTACATTCATTTTCCCAGGTGCGAGAAATTTAAGAACATGTAAAATGCAGAACATATTTACTTTGAATTTGAGAGTTTTCTTTAGGTAGCCAGTAATGAGATCGTAATTCGCATGCATCTTCACGCCATTCCAGCTCGAGTAGGACACCATTACTGTTGCAACACCCTTTCTGATCGAGTCCAGATAAGCCGGCATATGAAGATTTAGCAGTCCATTCCAGTCTATTACTGTGTTATTCTCGTTTATACCGTCAGTCGTGCCACCATCCCCCACGAAATGCTTTGCACAACCGGCAACTTTAGTCCTTCAACAGACAAATAGAAGGAACAAAATAATTAAAAAATAAAAAATAAAAAAATCAGACTAAGAAAGAGAATAATCTCAGGTGAAAACACTATGAAGTTCATTTTTCTTCTTTGAATAGCTAAAAATCAGAGATATCCAAAAATCTACTTTTAGCTCAGAATGTCAGTGAAAATCACGATGGTATTGCGATGAGAAGCTGTTGATTATTATACGTACTTTCGACCCACAAACGGGTAATTAGTTGGATAGTTTGAAGGAACATCTCCTTGTAGACCAGGAACGAGCTCTGTCATTGACTGAACAATTTTATGGTCTTCGCTGTAGCTTTCATAACAACGGCCCCACCTAGGATCCCTGCACACCTGCCAAACGACACGAATATACGAATTCATGCAAAAACTAAGAAATACAAAATATAACCAAGTACAAGATTAGCTTTAACTTCCATTTATTTATTTACCGCTATACATGGTGCAAACGTGTAAGAAATTCCTGTTGCTCTCACTTCAAGAGCAGTTGCAGCACCTATCCTCTTAACAAGATCCGGATCTCTATCCAAATTCAACAAAAAAATTCAGCTAGTTGAGAATTTATTCCAAAAAAAAAGGAGGCCACTCATAATACATAAACTTCTTGATGATAAACAATGATCATCGTTAGGAACTGGGCTTGCCTGGTAACTCCAAGACCAACATTGTGAGGGAAAATGGTGGCATTATACACATTGTTATGTCCATGAACAGCATCAATACCGTAAATCATAGGTATTCCCAGACGAGTTGAAAGTGCGCCCTTTTGGAATTCATTCACCATATTCACCCAAGCCTCAATGGGAGCTTTCGGGCCCGGTACACTTCCTCCACCACTTACAACACTCCCTGTCCATCACATTTTCACAAAAATCAATTTCCCATTTCAGCTCAATTACCAGATAAGGTGATTTTCTAACCAAGAACGAGATCAAGGTGAGAGGTTATGATCACTAGTTTTTTTTTCCCTCCTTTTCTGTAAGTAACCCAAAACAAAAGAAACAAAGAAAATCTCGAGAGTAAACTGTAATTGCACAAAGACAGCAAGTAAGGATGCAAGAGTTTGTGCTAGTTTAAGCTATAGCAATGGATCCCGAGCCAATCCACAGTTATCTGAATTCATTAGCCCAGATTTTCTCCAAATTCTTCATTCCAAATGCTACCTCAAAAATTATTCAAAGCAAAATAGTTCATCTCGATGTCCACAAATATTAATATTAACTCACACACAAAATCCTCTGAAAGTCTTATTTAACAAAAAAATTAAAGGAAATCGATATGGATACCAATAAAGTATTTCTTCATAACATCTGCAGATGCAACCTTCCGCTCGATCTGAGTCATCTGCCCAATTTTTTCTTCTAGAGTCATTCTACTAATCAGATCTTTGATTCTCACTTTCAATGGCTGTTTTGGGTCTCTGTATTTCATGTACTCCGCACACACAGCCGCCGTACACAGCCACAGCGCCACCAGCGCCGCCACCATCAGCCTCCTCACTCCGATCATAGTCAGATAATTTCGTACCCAACAAACCCTAAAACACCACCAAAGCCCAAAATTAAACGAAATTAGAGAAAAAAAAATCGAAAATGACATAATGCATTGAAATGTATCAAAAAAAAAAAGGAAATGAAATCTTGCTTTTAATATGAAGAACGGAGCTTTCAAGCTCCAGCAAAAAGTGAATCAAAATCTCGGTTTAACTAATCTGATGAAATGGACTAGGAAATTAACCTTAAAATATTGATGCACTGAAATTAAAATAGATTATCTTTCTTGCACTGAAATTTATGGTTTCGAATTTTTTGGACGGAGATTATAGTGGCGCGCTTAAAAAAAGCCCACGTTTTTGCTCCTTGCCTGCTTTTGTAGATTTGAATATGGATTAATTACGAAATCGCCCCTGGTGTTTAGTATAATTATAAAAGAACCACTTGGTTTCTAATATTGCATGTACCTCGCGCAGAGTAGTTAGACGAACCGAACATCCGCTACCTAAATCTCTTTCGAGCTCATTCGTATTCGAAAAAAATTAATTTTTTGTTAATTAAGCTAAGTTTGAACAGAAAAAACTTAAACGATCTCATTCACGAACATCCAATAATGTCTACGAATAATAATTTAATAAAAGTTTATTTTAGTCTTATACATATGTATAGTATTTTTAATAAAAAAAATCTAGTACTAATTTTGAGCTCGAACGAATATAATTCGAGTTAACTAAATAATTTTTTTTTAAAAAAAAATATTTACTAAAATACGAAAAGATACAAACTCAAATTTTGACAAATAATTAAACAAACACACTAGAACATAATTTTTTCGTTTGAAAAATAAATGAACGGACAAGAACGGTATTCGAATAATTCGAAGATGAGCTTAAAATACTAAGCTCAGCTCATTCGTCCTAACTACAAATTTACAACACTACAAGTTAAAGTCACATTTGCAATTAGGCTAAAACTCGGGATAGTTTCACAATCATCCCATTGACTTACAGTAATGAGTTTGCCAGTTTCACACGGATTGTTTAGATTTTATTGATCTAATTACAATATAAAATTAATTTGGTACAAGTCAAAGAAAATTGCAGAATTAGAAATTCTTACATGTAAATTTTATCCATTATCTTAATTCTTATCCAATCGCATTCAAGTTGCCGTGCAAGAATAATGTTTAATCACCGAGTCTGAATTTGTATACTTATTTTTTATAATTTGATTATTTTTTCAACAAGTTTTAACACGGTTCAATCCTTTTACGATTTTTGCAAAAGTTAATATATTAATATAATCGTTTATATCTCATCGGTCCCAATTTTATTTTCGATAAAAAGGTAAGAAAGGACCGGTTCCAATTTTATAATTATCATATTAAATTACATTAATGGTTTGCTAATTTCATTCATTTACATTAAAGGGTTTGTCAATTTCACACGGATTGATCTCGTTGCTTGATCTAAAATTTATATGATCAAATAGGTAAAGGTCACGAAAATTGCAAAATTAGAAATTGTGACATGTAAATTCCATCCATGTTACTATAATTTTAATCACCGAGTCTGACGGTATGGTTCCAAGAATGGTCATAAGATTTTAATGCGGATTTGAATACAAATAATATACTAATTAATGTCCACTTGCATTTGCATTTAATTCGTCAATCAGAGTATTATTTATGATGAATTGATGGATGAATTAGATGGTCGATATGTCACAAATCATGTTATGTCGCAATTACGTTTAGTTGGTCGATATACGTTACTATTATTAAAAAAAAATTATATTATAAAATATTATATTTTTTATGTTTTTTTAAGTGAAATATTTAATACTCCTCCATTTAATTTTAAATAGGAACATTCTTTTAGATTTAATATTTTATTATTAATTATTTGTCGCTTTAGACAAATCTTCCGATGATATGATACATAAAATGATAAATTATAAATATAGTACAATTTTTGAAACATTTTGCATAAATAATAACATTTTTAAACGTATTGTTCATTTACATAAAAGATACACTTTTATGGTAAAATTAATGACTATAGTCTCTTTTAAAATTATATTTAATTTACTTGTAATTTATATCATGTTTATATTAGCGGGTCAACAAGTCAAAACAGGTAATGTGGTCAAACAGCCAAAAAAATGCTTGAAAAGCCAATAAACAAACGAGGCCAAAATCTTGTTACATGACTAAAAAATTTTGTTAACATATCAAATATAAACTATTGATAATTGTCAAATAAACGTTGAAATCCAAAATTCACGTAAAATATACACCCTCAACTTCTCAAATACACCCTCAAATTCAATACGATCGTCTAAAACCCTCAACTTGTTACATGACAAAAAAATTTTGTTACATGACTAAAAAATTTTGTTAATATATCAAATATAAACTACTGATAATTGTCAAATAAACATTGAAATCCAAAATTCACGTAAAATATACACTCTCAACTTCTCAAATACAACCTCAAATTCAATACGATCGTCTAAAACCCTAGAAATCTCCCAAGTTGCAGTAGCGCAAGTGTTGATATGGTTCAAGTTCAACTCCTTGTTTCAGAGTTAGGGCTTTCCTTAGACGGGTAAAGCCGAAGACTGGTTTAACACTTGTTCTACGGGACGTCCGGCAATCACATGCTCTTTTTTAGTAACCTCTTCAGGCAGACAGCCAAAGACGGACGCGGAACAGGCGCAAAAGAACACGAAGAAGGCCCCACTCTCAATTTGTACAAACGGATCCTCAATTTGAACGGCGAGGATGCTCTGGGAAAGACCGTTACCTCATCGAAAACGAGCTTGTTGCCATTGGACTCCGACGTGAAACGGGTTGCATATGATGTCAGCGGGAAAGAGACCAAAGGGGTGGTGGTTGTGTGGAGTTGAGATTCGCCCTAGTCCGGGATGTGGTGTATCTGTGAGTAATAATTACATATTGGTGTGAATAACGTGTATGGCTTGGGATGAAGAAGTTAAAGAGCCAAATTATGTGTAGATCTGTGTGTAGGAGTGAAAAATTTGAAGAGTTGATTGTGCCTTTGCTAAGAGCATCTCCAATGCTCAAATATTGTTGTTGTATACAACAATATGTAATTATTACTGACAGATACACCACAGCCCGGACTAGGGCGAATCTCGCCTCCACCCAAAGCATTGTGGATGCTCTTAATTGTAGGTATAAATATTTTTTTTTTCCAAGATGTTGGTGTAAAGTATAATTGCAGATAAAAAGAGATGTTAAACAATCAAAATAGTCGAACCAAAATTGTCAAATTATTTGATTATAAATAATCAAATATCTATAATATTTGTTATTATAAGTTATGATAAACCAATGAGTCATTTATTTATTATGTAAATCTATACTTATATTAAAGGGGGTACTATTTACCAAATTAAGTAGCCAGGAAAGTCAACAGCATTTATTGCATTACTATTTTCGTATTATATTATATAAAAAGATATTCTATTTACTACATTTATTATCCAGAAAAGTCAACTGCATTAAATGTCATTACTATTTTGGTATTATAATATTTTATTTATTTAATTAATTTATTTATTTGTTTTATTTTAAAAAAGGTAAGTATAATAAAAAGATTTTAATAGCAAAAAAATTAAATACCAAATAAAAATGTACACTTTGACTTATTTGATTATATTTGGTATTTGATTATACCAAATATATTCCTATTTAGTATATACATTAAATACTTACTAAAGTATTTATTTGTTTTATTTGTCAAAGTTAAGTATAGATTTGTTTATATTATCAAATCATAAAAAATATTAAATTCATATTGTAAAAAAAAAAATCATATAATTTTATAACAATTCTACTACACTATTTAACAATATTCTTTTTTTATTATATAATAAAATAATAATTAAATATTATATGGTGAACAACAATAAGTAAAACTGTTACTTTCTCTTATATCAAGGGATAAATTTATATGCTAAAATTAAATTTTTATTAGTATAAATGTTTTAGTGAGATAATATATTAATTATTTTACAAGCTAGCCCTAACATGCTCATATTTAATGTTTTAAAAGATGTAGAAAAAAAACTTATAATAACTCTATTGTTTTTTAGACTTAAACGTTGATTAAAAGAGGTAAAAATTCTTAATTTTTTAGACTTAAACGTTGATTAACACCCTAGATTGAGAGTTTATATTTAGTAAGATTCCTAATTGTAATAAAAAAATTAATTTTTGCTTTATTTTAGAATATCTTTAAATTCATTATAAAAAAAAAAAAAATACTACAATGAAAAAAACAAGTCAGCTATATATTGATTTGTTGTACTCCTCAAATCACATTCACAATTTGGCTACAAGGAAATGAAACTCATTGATTAAAATATTATTTTGTCAGTAGTTTAATGTACAAGAGACTTTAAGACTCCATTTGAATATTATAAAATTTTTATTGAACATCGTGCAATTTCTTGCGTATTATAAGCTTTTATTGAATATTGCATCTTATAATATAATATTCTTCAAATAAATATATCTCGCAGGTCACGTACTATATATATTCCGTACATTTTTCTTTATTCATGTATATAATTATAAGTCTGGATAATATAGCCTTAAAATTGTGCACCCCGTGCATCGCACGGGCTCTGTACTAGTTATAATTATAGAAAGAAAAATCAAAATATATTGTTATAAATTATAATGACAAACAAATAGGTTACTTGTTGAATTGTCTATATAAAATATTAACTTAGAAATAAGAAAAGATTTATAATATATATTGTATAAATTATAATAATAAATCAACGAGTCTTTTTTTTTTCGAAATAAATCAACGAGTCATCTGATGAACAATGATGTAAACTGCTAGCTTAGAAAAGAATAAATTAAAATATCCATAATGCATATTGTTATAAATTGTAATGATAAATCAACAAACTCTTATACGAATTAATCTAATTAGGAAAAAATAAAATATTCATAAAATTTATTATTATAATTTATAAATAAATTAAAATAATTTTGACATAACTAAAATTAGTAAAATTTTATTATTTTAAAATATTACATATATATTCTAATTTTTTTATAAATTAAGTATCGCTTTATAACATTTTTCATAATAAAGTATAAGCACGAGAAGTGGAAAAATATTATTATAAATAATATTTATTGATAATGTTTGAATATGCTAAACTTTTACTAGTATCTTTTTAATTCTAAACATAAACTTTAAAAACTTATAACTAGTCAAATAACATACAAATCATGTATCAAACTAGTATTCGACCATGTGCATTTGCACAGTTTAAATAGAATATTATAAGTTACA